TGATGGTCATTATCTGCGAGTGGAAAGCAATTCGCGTGTCATCTTTGAAAATGTTAGTTCGTCGACCTCGTTTTTTTTATAAACCTCCCAAAATGTCGAGTGCTGCTGCTAGTCAGTCAATCTCTCTGCCTTATCGAAATACTCTGAAGAAGGGCAATAGCCAAACACATCAGTCTTGCAGATATATGTATTCTGCTATAAAACAGTGATAATGAATAAAGTATTTTACGAGTTGTGCCCCACTGCTAACACAGTCGATGTTTATTTTGAGTTTTACAAAGATACTGTTTTGTATCTCATTGGTCGCAAGCCAGCCTGCGATGATGGAACACCAATGTCTACCACGATTGTTTGGACGCATTCAGCTCCAGCCGCACAACGACTGCCTGCGCCACTTCATCAACGTAATGGGTAAAAAAAGTTTTTTTAAACGTGTCATCCGCTGCACAAGCAAAGTGTTTTGTCCAATAAATGATTGGTGCTGCCTTGGCAGTGGTTGCACAAGCACGATAAACACAATGTGAAAACATTTCCTGGATAATAATAAAATATATCAGAAGCGACGTTTCGGGCAATGGCCCTTCTTTATAGCAGAGGGTGCTTTTGAAGAAGGGCCATTATTACAAAATGTCGCTGTTTGTATGCAGTATTTATCCTTTCTGGCAATGAAACAGGTGTTAAGATGTTCAAACAAAACTTTTTGCAAGGAAGCATGTCTGCGTTAACCATACGTACTTGTGGTGAACATGCAAACAAACATGCTCTGATAACACTGTGTAATAATATTTTTGTTCCTGGGTAGTAAATGTTATTTCCTAATTGCTTATGCCTCAAAAGTACAGAAATCGTGTATTATTCCCCACAAACTTTGCTTTTGTGACCAGGACATTGATTTTTTTTTAAATGTACCTATTTTCAAGAACATTCCAGATAGATTCAGTGCTGAGTAAACTTGGAGTTACTTCTAGAACATTCTAGAACTTTCGAGTAATATAAATAGTAGTATCAATACAGGGGCCTTAAGCCCACTAGTTCAGCTTAGTTCAAGTTGCCTAAGTGGATACATATTTGCATATTTCTGAGATGGCATCAAGAGGCTGCAAGCATCCGGCAGACGCATTTTGCTATGTCTGCGGCCAATTTATCAAGACAAGAGTGAAAAAGTACTCTGTGGAAGCATCTGCTAAGATGTGTGAGGACTACAAGGGATATTTCGGCATGCCTGTTGGGGATCAAGACAAACCTGGGCACCTCATTTCACCTGCGAGCAATGCAGCAAAAACTCTGGGAGGTAAGATGGACAATTGTTGCTCGGAATTTTATGCTATAAAATTTGTTAACATTTTTAAAATTGCAAAAGTTTTTAATTTTAAATTGTTTAACAATTGATCAGATATGAAAAATGTTGCGAGAATCTGTTACACATTAGTCATGGGTAAAATAAATGTTTTTTTGTAGAATGGTACAGAGGGGAAAAGAGAGCCATGAAGTTCGCTATCCCAATCATTTGGTGGGAACCCACTGACCACTCAAGCAACTGCTACTTCCAGACCTTGCTGGACACCTTGAAGTATGATGAGTACGGCTGGGAGGTCATCGGAGACTTCAAAATGGTGGCATTCCTGATGGGTCTCCAAAGCGGTTTTACCAAGTTTCCTTGCTATCTTTGCCTTTGGGACAGCAGGGACACCAAGGCGCACTACCACGGGCGGGACTGGCCAAAGCGGACCGAGTTCTCTGTGGGGAGGAACAACGTCAAGTGGGAGCCACATCAAATTGGGCCTTATGAAACAATTTTTCAGAGCTGTAGATAAGGAATCGACAGCCTTCAAGTACTCGTAAGGAGAACGCGGCTTGAAACAGCTTTGTCACAGTGGTTCGTGGGTTCCTGGGCAATCACAAGGTCGAAAACTACGTGTAGCTGGTTGAGACTCTGGTGAAGAACTACGGCACAATGGGCTGTAGAGTGTCCCCCAAAGTCCATATCCTTGATGCTCATCTTGATAAATTCAAGGAGAACATGGGATCGTACTCGGAGGAGCAAGGCGAGCGCTTCCACCAGGATATTCTGGACTTTGAACGCCGCTACCAAGGACAGTATAACGAGAACATGATGGGAGACTACATTTGGGGGCTGATTCGTGAAAGTGATTTACAGTATAATCGTAAATCTCTAAAAACTACTCACTTCTAAATCTTTTGTAGTAATTTTTGTATTACTTTAGTATAAATACATGTACATTTTGATTCATATGTTGTTGTTTTTTTTCTATGTGAACGAAAATACACAAATTCGCCCGTTTTCTCATTTAAAATGGGTACATTTCAAAATATCACTGTCCTGGTCACAAAAGCAAAGTTTGTGGAGAATAACAGCAATTTTTTATACTTTTTAGGCATAAGCAATTACGATATAACACTTACTACCCAGGAACAAAAATTGTGTTACATAGTGTAATATATGGCATTGTCTTTGAAACTTATTGGCCTACACCAGAGCCAGCCTTCTTGTTTTTCATACTTTAATACTGGCCTAAGAATTTCCCATGATATAACATTTTATATATATATATTTCCCATTAGGGTTGTTATTGACGAATGTATTGCGTGTATGTTTTGTAATTTTTGTATGAGTATAATGGGGGGGGGGGGGGTTTGTTTGGATCTGCTGACAGTCATAATATCCAGTGCCTGTAGCCGGATCACAGCTGCGAGCAACAGCCATTGAAACCGCAGCAGCTGCTCCCGCGCGAGACGCGCAGTCATTAAAACGCGAAGCTTCGGCCTTCCGTTTGACCGCACAATGATCATTGCCAAGTTTCCAACTTACGCGTTTAGTTTTCCCCCCCCCACCGCCCCCTGCGAGGTTTTACTTCAACTAAAGTGGCGCTTGGTGAAAAAGGCGGAACGCGACCTTGAGGTAAATTTAGTGGAGAGATAATAATGAACGCAAAAGCACTAACTTTCCCCACGATGGGAAAAATATGATACGGTCGGCATGTTTTGGAAAAAGTTGGGCAGATTGTTGTTTATGCTGTGCAAAGATAGTAATCACTAAAAACAAAGTCAATCGTATGAATAATATACAGCTCCCTGTCCATCCAGTGCTAGATGAAGGCCTCTTGATGCTGTGTCCGTGGAGCAGGTCCGGTCAAATCACCACTCACGTTAGCCGTGGTCAGGAATCTAACTTAGGTTGCCGAGGTCAAAGCATAGAGCGCTGAGATGGATTAAAACTGCCTAAATTAACAAAGTGTTGACAATCGCATTGCGGATAATTGCATAAAAAACTAAATGCCTGGTTCACTGGAAGATTCATGTGAGAGATGCACGCGGCTCAAGGTCAAGTGTGAGTGGTAGCTACCTCTGCTGCCGATTAACCCTTTCATTGGACTCACAAGTGTTATACTAATTTTTTACACAATGATGATGATAATAATAATAATTTACAGCTAGTTGTGCATGATAGCCTCCCCATGCCGTGTTTTTATCATGGGAGTTTGCTTCATCATACTTCACTATACTGGTCACGTGCAGGTAGGGGTCCAAGACCGGTTCTGACATCACCCGTCACTGATGTTTACTATGGGCAAAAAATAAATCTATCTCGGGGTGCCACGGTGACGAAGTGTTAATTACCTCGCCTTGTATACAGGAGGTCGTGGGTTCGATCCCGACCCTGACGATGCCTGCTGCTGTAGATTTGGTCGCGTGGATTTTTCTCCGGGGCCTCCGGTTTTTCCCTCCACATGTAGAAAAATGCGTTTCGAGTATTTGGCTGCCATACACTTCCACACGATGGGCCACTTCGTTGAGCAATCATTCATGGCCAGGTCGCTTCTGACAAAGAGCTACATAGCTCAGTGGGCCTTACCTGGGAAAATAAAAAAAATATAGTTTAATTTAGTTTCTATAGGTCCCTGGGTTTAAATAGCAGTGTGCTAACTCATGTGCCAATACAGTGTTTATAACTTCCCAATATACCCCACGTTCATCAATCATATTCATCATCAGTTATGATCAATCCACTGCTGGATAAAGGTTTTTCTCCCATGCATCGCCAAATCTCACAATCCCGCCATGCAACAATCAACATACCCCATAGCAATAACACAATTATTGGCAGAAAAATAATAATTCAAAATATAATAAAACACACGAAATTAAAAGAACTGAAATGAGCTGACATGGCGCTCGTGTCTGTTGCATCACGTAACACTAAAACTTTAGTTTGCTGACCCTAACAATTATATAGCTAGACCCATGACATGTTTTCCTCTTGGATGCAACCGGGTGACTTAAGGGCATCTCGAAGCGTAACATTGTCACAGCGGCTCCGAGTTGCTCCATGGTGAGATATATAAAACCCCGCTTTCTCAACGCATCGGCCACATTCAGAGGACTCCCACAAGTGCTCGGCTGTACTGCAAGGGGCCTGTGAATCAAAGATTTTGCCCAACAAGGTAAATTTGTTATAGATGGTGGAAATTATACAAAAGATCCCTTGGTCATCGTCGTCGTCATCAGCCATGAGTTCGAATTGTGGTTGGAGGTTGACTCAGCCCATCAACCCTCTGGGGGGGTCAATACAATAAGTGTCACTTTGTGAGAAAGCCAACAGCGGTTGTCCTGTGGATAAGACTTGCGCCCCCGCCCATAGGAATGTGGAGTTTCCACCGCTGGCTCAGGCCTGCAAACGCGTGACGACTGACGCTTCGACGCTCACTTTGGCATGTAAATGACAGCGCCGTCGTTGCGCATTCACCCGTGTGAGCTGTCCCTCGTTCCGTCGGTGCGTTCAGCCGGGGCCTCCGAGGCAACATGTGGTCCCGACCGGAGCTGGTGGCCCTGTTGGCGGCAGCGGCGCTGCTCATGCTGGAGGGGACGAGCGCGAACGAGGAGGCAAAGTCGAAATGCCAGCTGCTCGCCGGCGTTCCTGGCGTTGACGGCTTCCCCGGGCGCGATGGCCGGCCAGGTGAGCGAGGCGTTATGCAACGAATTTTTTTTTTTTAAACGACGCCCTTGGCTCACGACTCGCAGCCACGTGCATGACGGTGGCCGCTGAGCACGCGCGACGCACGGGCGGCTCATCCTGCGTTGTGGAGGCAGCGGCGAGGGTTGGCAGATCGTGCACAGGTGTTGCGAAACTCCCTTCCCGTGGTCGTGCGAGATGCCGTACGCTGGCTTGCCGGGAGAACGAGATACAGCAGATGTGGGCTCCACCTGTTCCATCTGTAGGGGATCGAGTGTTTTCCCTGGGTGCTCCCGTTTCCTCCCATATGTAAACACTCATCCATTGGCTGAAAACAGCTCAATATATGAAGGACTGCAGAGCTTGGGCAATTGTTGGCGGATGGTTCGCCACCTGCCCGCCTGTCCGCGTTGTCTCGCACGTCTTGAGTCATTGTCTTCCAGTGAGCGAATAACTGTGCAGCACGGCGTTACAAGATGATCGTGTCGTCATTTTTTGTTATGGGTCTATGTTACGATGCGGTCGGTCATGAAGGGACAGGTGGACAGACAATCTCGTGAAAGCCTTGGAAGATAGGACTGCACAGTGATGGAGACAGACAGAAGATGGGAAGAGAGCAAGCCACAGACCAACAAGCCAGCCGGTGCCTGTACATTTGAAACAATGATGATAACGATGGCAAAATGATGATTATTTCAATCAAGTGTCATGTAAATATATATTACAACATAAAACACCTCAAGTTGCCGTACAAAAGTACACGAGAACTTAAGTGGACTTTTTCATGTTGTAAAAAATGTCAGCAATGGAATGATCAGTGGCTAGATGGGGGGAGAATGGTTGGGTGAGGGCATCAGGCATAGCATGATTCACCACAAGAGGAAATAGAAATAGCGACCAAGAGGCTGGCATCATCTCTCCTGGTTCTCGCAAAACTTTTCGGAGAAATGACCGCTAGGTTCCTCACACCACGCAGCAGCAGAAGGAGAAGTTGCCACGCAGTAGCATTTTGGGGGGCGGTGAGGGGGCGGACGAGATCATGTAAGGTTTGAGAACGCGAACGCCATTAGATATCATAACAAGGGTAGATATCAGGGTGGTGTTTTTTTGTTGGTTTTTAATTCGACAAGAACTCGGTCCAGAGAGCGAGCAGTAAAACGAGAAGGAGGCACAGACATCCTACGGGCTGCAGATATTCGTTTTTAGCTTGTGCATTATGACCATGACGACAGGGATGGTCGATGTCGAGGATGATGGAAAACAGCTGCTCAGACTTGACAACGCAGAGCCGCCTTGAATACAGATCTCGAGCAGCTTGTGTTTTCCGGACGGGCAGGAGGAGGATGTACGGTTACATCGCCCGTGCACGGTCCCATCTCTCTCGTGTGGAAGAAAATTATCACGCTTCCTTCAGCGATTCTCATTCTCTTCACGCACTGAATTCATCGGTTGCGTAAGGGTGGCGCGTGATCTCGTGACAACAGCTCGAATAGAATATTCCTTTGCTTTATCTAGTGTTTGTGCCATGGTCGTAGCGCGAGGCTATCAATAGAGGGTAAGTCTCGCAGGCGAGCAGAGTCTGCAGTGGTTTTACAGCAGGGCCGTCATGATTGCCATTTATGTGCTCCCAATCGGGGAATCGGGTAATTTGTTGGGTCATTTTATTCAAAATTGGTAAAATTTGGACCATGACATCAGCACACACGACCTATCCATTTTCAAATAGCGTCACGGGACCGTGAACATCTGCTGTTTAGGCGGTCAGCGTGTAATATGTTTTGGTTCATACGCCCGCAGTGTTCACCAGGGCGGCCGTGGGGTTCGAAGCGTGAATGTCCGCAACAATCGGCGAAACGCGCGACCGCTCGGCCGTGTCACCGCCCTGCGTCGTTGTTGCTGAATAAAGTGTTTTGTTATTAGTATCATCATCATCATCATTGTTATTGTGATGCAGGAATGCCGGGGCCCAAAGGAGATCGTGGAATGCCTGGGCAAGGAGAGAAGGGAGACGCTGGTACGCGCCACACCAACGGCCACCGCACCTGTGACCTCATTCCTTTGTTGTGATAACTTGTTGTTGTTGTTTGTGTTTTTTGTTTTGGTGCCATTTGTTTAGTTTGCTTGGTAGTCGGGTTTTCATTTGCTTGGTATGTGTGTGTGTGTTGGGCTTCTTTTGCGCTGTACGTAGCCAACAGCGTATAGGGGATTTGGGCTCTATATATATAATTAATATACAGCGTTGTGGGATGCTGTTGGCATCAATAATGCTGCTATTCAAAATTAATGTATTGTAATTAGCTGTCACGATTCGACCTCGTCGCGTTGCAGTGCGTCGCAAAGATTCAGGGATTCCAGTTGAATTCCATTGTGACGAGGCTATGAAGGAGGCTGCCTCTGGTGTAGGCCAATCAGTTTCAAACACAAAGCCATATTATCAGAGCATGTTTTGTTTGCATGTTCACCACAAGTACTGTGTGTGTGGTTAATGCAGCAACTTGATTCCGTGCAAATGGTTTTTATTTGGTGTTTGTACATCCTAACACCACCCCCTGTTTTATTGCCAGAAAGGGTAATGCTTATTCTGATTTTGCATACTTTGATTCTTGCAAAACGGTCCCCACGATATGTCCTACATGAGTTTGAATCTCCATTAATGAGGAATAAGCATGGAAAGTCACAGTCAAGTACATCCCCGTTGAACTCTGGGGGAGCCGGGGGAGCCGACGGAGCCAAGGGGGCCGATGGAGCCGAGGGGAAGAGGCCGTGACTCACTCACTCATCTTACACTGACTCACTCACTCATCATACACTCACTCACTCATCTTACACTGACTCACTCACTCATCATACACTGACTCACTCACTCATCATACACTTACTGACTCATCTTACACTGACCCACTCACTCATCATACACTCACTCACTCACTCATCTTACACTGACTCACTCACTCATATTACACTGACTCACTCACTCATCATACACTCACTCACTCATCTTACACTGACTCACTCACACATCATACGCTGACTCACTCACACATCATACACTCACTCACACTACCACTGACTCACTCACACATCATACACTCACTCACACTAACACTGACTCACTCACACTACCACTGACTCACTCACACATCATACACTCACTCACGCTGCTGCTGACTCACTCACACATCATACACTCACTCACACTACCACTGACTCACTCACACATCATACACTGACTCACACATCATAGACTCACTCACACTACCACTGACTCACTCACACATCATACACTCACTCACACATCATACACTCACTAACACATCATACTCATTCGCACATCATACAGTGACTCGCACATCATACACTCACTCACACTACCACTGACTCACTCACACATCATACACTGACTCACTCACACATAAACTGACTCACTCACACATCGTACACTCACTCACACTACCACTGACTCACTCACACATCATACACTGACTCACTTACACATAAACTGACTCACTCACACATAATACACTCACTCACACATCATACACTCATTCACACATCATACACTCACTCACACTACCACTGACTCACTCACACATCATACACTGGGAGTGTCGTGCTGCCAGCTCTGCCTGCAAATTTGGTCGTACGTGTTATGTATATCGTTTATTGTTACATTTAAATCACAGTTCCTATTATTACTGCTGTTACATTGTTTTCATAGCGTTATTTCGGTGATTTCGAAAATATAATGTTAATCTAAATTGTCTTATGGTTGTTATTATTTGACTTGCATCACACTGGGGTATTTGCACAGTGTTTTTTTTGTTGAAGATTTGCTGGTTTATCCAGGATGTTTCTTTTCCGCGTCGTGACTTTGAGAGTTCAAATTTTGTTCGTTGCGGTTGCACCCGACTTAAGGGCCGCATGGCTCACAGGGCTATACCTAATAAATGAAACTTGAAACAGCAATGTGACAAATAACTAAAATAAATTTACACGTTTTGGCTTTCCGGTTGCATCTTCAAGGATGTGAATTGGCTCAATGGTTGACATTGCCGCCGTGTCTATGAAACCCCGACAACCTTTCATGCAGGGACCCCGGGACCGTCAGGGCCCAGAGGCGAGGATGGAATTCCTGGGACAAAGGGATTAAAAGGGGACGACGGAGAAAAGGGCGAAAAGGGAGCAATCGGTAAGTCGCTCCGACCTTGGCACGAGGGCACTGGTGAATGTGGTGACCAACGCTGTGCCCCGGACCAGAGCCGGATCAAGGCGTGGGGGGCTTTAGGGACTGCAGCCCAGGGGGCCTCCGCCAGCTGGAGGGCCTCCAGAGATGAAGTGAAAAGTTATTTCACTTGTGAATGCTGAATTCTATTTGTTGTTAGTCTTGTAAAAATAAATGCTATTTTTTTATTTAACTTTGTTTTTCTTTTGAAAATATTACTGGGGGCCCCACAGTACCTGTAGCCCAGGGGCCTACAAAATCTTAATCCGGCCCTGCTGCGGACACTTCGGTGATCGCGGCCAGCGGCGTTTCCTTGTCCCCAACTGCGTTTACAAGCAACGTCGAAACATTGAGAAGTGTCCACATGATAAGCCGCCACTTCGTTGAGTTATCATTTTATGGCCAGGTCAATTCTGGAAAAAGAGTTCAAAGAGCCTTACCTGGTAAAAAAATAAAAGCTGAGTTTAGTGTATTGGTATACAGAGATACTTCAAACAAACCAAAATAATTAGTGTTCTCCATGATACACACGCGTTAAAATCTAGCATTCCAACTCGGGTGGGGGTGGGGAGGGTTAAGGAGAGGCGGTGGGGGGAACCTAATGACTCCAATCCAATTGGTGAGGCAACCTCAACCCGCTCCAGTCAGTATCCAGAGCAAGTGACTGGCCCCCGCTAAGTCTGACTCAAAGCGCAGTTTGGGAATGGTGGGGTCCCAACCAGGTCCCATTGCTTTGCGCGTCCCAAACCACATTCAATTTAATTGAACAGGAGCCAACGGGAAGGTTGGACCCAAGGGCACGACGGGGCTTCAAGGGGCCCCCGGCAACCCTGGCATGAACGGAGCGAAGGGCGACGCCCCCGTCGTGAAGAAGTCCGCGTTCAGCGCGAGGGCGAGCGTCGGCAAGAGCTTCCCCAAAGCCCCCGGGGCGATCGTCTTCGACGTGGTCGTGACGAACGACTTCGGTCACTACGACGAGGGCAGCGGCAGGTTCAGGTGCGCGATCGCGGGCCACTACTTCTTCTCGTTCCACGCCGCCGTCGCCGTGAAGTCCCTGCAGGTCGTCGTCATGCTCGGCGACAAACCGCAGGTGACTTTTTACGACCACTTCTCCGGCACCGGCGGGGCAGACAGCATGAGCGGTGGCGTCGTGCTGCGCTTGAAGGCCGGCGAGGAGGTCTGGCTGCAGATGATGACGATCAACTTCGGCTTGTACATCGACGACAAACGGGACGCCGTGTTCAGCGGCTTCTTGCTGTTTGCCGATTGAGAGCGAGCCGCCTTGCGCAAGGTCGGGCGACGCTTAACTAATTAACCTGTTCGCATTTTTAACACTGTACGCGAAGTTGGTCATCTACGAAAGTGCACGCGGGTCACCGATGCCCAAGAGGGTTGACGTGGACTTTGCAGGAACGTGGGCGCCATGACGAATGACGTTGCCAGTCAACGCAATTTTATTCTCTGTGTGCACTCTGTAGCATTTAGTGGCGCGGCGGTGCGATGGGTTAGTGAAACGATCCATGAACCCCAGGAACTCGAATTCAATTCCCCGCCACGGTTAACGTCATTGGCGAGCGATATCCGAACTATCCCTGGGGTCCTGCCCACTTCACTCACCTGCACTGACGGGCGCGGTGAAGTTTGGCCAAATAACCCCCATGACTGGCTTGGCACACGGGGGGGAAGCTTTCAATCAGCAATGGATTGACAGAGGGCTGTGACGACATCACATCTACCTGCTCGATTTAAGACCGAAACAGGAGGAGGATTCCTCCACAATTCTGGCTGTCGCCTGATGAGGCTGGTTGTAATTACCGGCGAAGCGTCACGGTACTAGAATTGTAAATGCTGTTGTGGGTTTACTCTCCAACACACAACCGGTGTGCTGAACTAGTAACGAATTGGCTCGTTTTGTTTACGTGACAAACCTTACTAATTGGCTGTGTGGGGTGGTGGCGGGTTTAACGACACATTTATATATCTACGCGATCTCACCCCAAAAAAAAAACCTCTATTATGAAAAAAAATATAGTTACATATATATAATTGCGACCCCATATCTCGATGATGTACAAATGAGTATGTGTGGAGTCAGAAGGGGTGGATAGCAAAACCACGCCGACAACCGGAGCGAGGATGGTGACATCACAGCAAGATGCAGTGATGGCAATTAATGCGGAGATAGTCGTGGGCGTGCGTGAATTAAGTTGACATTCTAATCGCGGGCAGTGTCCGATCTGAGCTGTTGTGACACAAACAGACGCTTTAAAGTAATTTCACTGTGAGATTTTCTGTCTTTAGCACTTTTCTTAACCGATAACCCCATTGCCTTGCGTTCTGTTGAAATAAAAAAAAATTAACGAACTCAGCAACTGATCATCTCTTTTTAAGGCTTCAACACAAAGCGAATATACATTCATGTGTACATCTGACAAAAGCACTGTTTAGTGTTCCATAAGCAGAGCAGATGTCGTCATCAATGCCATTTAAATCCACCGTCGCTGTGCGTTATCCGCGCCTGAGTTTTTACGTAAGTGACCTTCAGGCGTTTGAAAGAAACATCTGACAACAGTCACAAGCCTGTTTGGACCAGGCCATCTCACATCTCGGAGTAGAAGGCAGTCTCTGAAACCTTTTTTTTTTGTTCTGGTGTGAATCAGAAGAAGCATGTATATATTTATAGATATCACCGGTTAATACACACCGCAGTATTAAACGGGGCGGCCGCTGTAAATCGAACCGTGAACCTCTGGCAACAAGCGGGCGACCGTCCTCCCACCAGGCCGAGTCACCGCCCCTTGACCCCTCCCACCCCAGTCCCAAGACACCAGGGAGGCTGCTCAGGTCAAAACACAGAGTGAGAGACCACGCGTCCACGCGTCAAGGAAGGCAATTGTTTGACATTGTTGTAATCAATGTCCCCCACCCCCCCCCCACGCACATTGAAAATGTATCCCGCGCGATACACATGCTGCAAGCCTGCGTCCGCCCTGAAAGGCTTTCCCTCTGGGTTTATAGAACTGTCAGCATCGAGTTACAAGTTTGTTTCCTCAATGGCAAGACCGTCACGTTCATCTGCAAGCACGGAATGGAGTTGTTGTTGTTGTTGCGAGAGCTCACAATGCCCCGTGATGGTTGCAGCTGCACAACAGTGATCGTACGACTTGGAACCGCTAAACGTCGCTTAAAAGTCACGGTAGAGCCTGCGCCGGTTTGTAAGCACACTCAATAAAAGCCGAAGCTTCAGCTGTCGGTTCGACCACCTGAATGAGTGTTGCCAACTTTCGGAATGATGCGGCCAGTTCCCTTGCTCAAGTGATTTCACTTCTCGGTTTCTTTTTTTGTTCGCACTGACAGGGGCTGCAGGTCTCTGATTGACCGTGCAACATTTCGTGGTTAATTCCCCGGGGCTTGTGATAATAAAGAAATACAATCAATAAAGGGGATGTCGCTGTTTCAAAGAATTGCCACACCATAGTCATCTTCCGTGAAGGTGATAGTTTAGTAAGTTAATCCTCTTGGGACACTGCCACGACGAGTTCCCTCCATTCCTTCCTGTCTTTGTTCACTTGTTGCTCGTCCTGCGAAGTGTTGCGCCACGTGGTCCCGGGTCTCCCAGGTTTCCTGTTGCCCCGTGGCGTCCGTCTTAGGGTAACGTGACAGTGATAGACATTATTATTTGGGTCTTTCGGTAAAGTCACGTAGACAGGTTCAAAGACAATAATGACATAACAAAAAACTACGACGTTTCGATCGCCACGCAAGCGGTCGTCAACTTGTTGATCGGCCGGCCGCTTGTGTTGCGATCGAAACGTCGTAGTTCTTTGTTATTTTCTTTGAACCTACCTACAGTGAGGGGAAAAGTATTTGATCCCCTGCTGATGTTGTACGTTTGCCCACTGACAAAGAAATGATCAGTCTATAATTTTAATGGTAGGCTTATTTGAACAGTGAGAGACAGAATAAGAACAAAAAAATCCAGAAAGGCGCATGTCAAAAATGTTATAAATTGATTTGCATTTTAATGAGGGAAATAAGTATTTGACCCCTCTGCAAAACATGACTTAGTACTTGGTGGCAAAACCCTTGTTGGCAATCACAGATTTCAGACGTTTCTTGTAGTTGGCCACCAGGTTTGCACACATTTCAGGAGGGATTTTGTCCCACTCCCCTTTGCAGATCTTCTCCAAGTCATTAAGGTTTCGAGGCTGACGTTTGGCAACTCGAACCTTCAGCTCCCTCCACAAATTTTCTATGGGATTAAGGTCTGGAGACTGGCTAGGCCACTCCAGGACCTTAATGGGCTTCTTCTTGAGCCACCCCTTTGTTGCCCTTGGCCGTGTGTTTTGGGTCATTGTCATGCTGGAATACCCATCCACGACCCATTTCAATGCCCTGGCTGAGAAAAGGAGGTTCTCACCCTAGATTTGACGGTACATGGCCCTGTCCATCGTCCCTTTGATGCGGTGTAGTTGTCCTGTCCCCTTAGCAGAAAAAAACCCCAAAGCATAATGTTTCCACCTCCATGTTTGACGGTGGGGATGGTGTTCTTGGGGTCATAGGCAGCATTCCTCCTCTTCCAAACACGGCGAGTTGAGTTGATGCCAAAGAGCTTCATTTTGGTCTCCTCTTACCACAACACTTTCACCCAGTTGTCCTCTGAATCATTCAGATGTTCATTGGCAAACTTCAGACGGGCATGTATATGTGCTTTCTTGAGCAGGGGGACCTTGCGGGCGCTGCAGGATTTCAGTCCTTCACGGCGTAGTGTGTTACCAGTTGTTTTCTTGGTGACTATGGTCCCAGCTGCCTTGAGATCATTGACAAGATCCTCCCGTGTAGTTCTGGGCTGATTCCTCACCGTTCTCATGATCATTGCAACTCCACGAGGTGAGATCTTGCATGGAGCCCCAGGCCGAGGGAGATTTACAGTTCTTTTGTGTTTCTTCCATTTGCGAATAATCGCACCAACTGTTGTCACCTTCTCACCAAGCTGCTTGGCAATGGTCTTGTAGCCCATTCCAGCCTTGTGTAGGTCTACAATCTTGTCCCTGACTTCCTTGGAGAGCTCTTTGGTCTTGGCCATGGTGAAGAGTTTGGAATCTGATTGATTGATTGCTTCTGTGGACAGGTGTCTTTTATACAGGGAACAAGCTGAGATTAGGAGCACTCCCTTTAAGAGTGTGCTCCTAATCTCAGCTCGTTACCTGTATAAAAGACACATGGGAGCCAGAAATCTTTCTGATTGAGAGGGGGTCAAATACTTATTTCCCTCATTAAAATGCAAATCAATTTATAACATTTTTGACATGCGTTTTTTCTGGATTTTTTTGTTGTTATTCTCTCTCTCACTGTTCAAATAAACCTACCATTAGAATTATAGACTGATCATTTCTTTGTCAGTGGGCAAACGTACAAAATCAGCAGGGGATCAAATACTTGTTTCCCTCACTGTACGTGACTTTACCGAAAGACCCAAAGAATATGAATTCCTGGTGTCACGAAAGCTTTAAGTCAAGATCATTGTTTAATTCATCATTCGTGAAATAAAAAAGGCAGATGAGAGAGCAGGTCAGGGTGCGTTTAACACACTGAACGTCACAATGTATGGCAAAATACGAAGGTGCCTAAAAAAGACTCAACGTTATACAGACACATCGACTCAATATTACTGGACAGTAAATAGTAAATTATATTTGTGTACTGAGTGTTGATAATCAACCTGTGGATAATATGGAAATATGTCATGACCTTAATACCACGAATATAAACAACAATAACCGTACAAATTGATCAATAACAAAATAAAAATATACCATTGGCGACGTTTTAGGCAATGGCCCGTCTTTGTAGCACGTACCATGTATAGTTTGCCTTTTGAGGTCTAGTGTTATTGATATATGTGTTGAGTTGTTGTTGTTAATAATTATTGTGCGCCACGGCCAATCCAACATCGCCAAATCATTAACTTCTATAAACAGGTCAGGCTACTCGAAGCGTGGATTACTTGTACTGCTCATAGATTGTGTATCTCCAAAAATGCTCCTCTGATGCTCTTTAGTTGTCCAAGGAAATTATCTAAACTTTGCCGTTTACTCCTTTATACCCCTAAAGGTAAAAATATATATAAATTCCACATCTTCTACATATATACTTCTACAAAACTAAAATGAATAAAATAAAACACAGACATTAAAAAAGGAACTCGAGTGACTTTTGGCCAGACGACATAACTATTGACTGTTGCATACATAACGCCCACATCGCAATTTGTCAGATTACCGTACTTACCCTCTCGAGAACAATGGGATTTTCCTCTTCAACAGTACAGGGCCAACAACCTGAAGCATGACATTATGACTGCAGCTCTGAGTTAGTCCACGAGGGGGGCGGGGTGGGATGTGGCGAGAGAGATATAAACCCTGATTCTGCACGCATCGGCCACATTCGGAGGACTTCGCAAGGGCTCGCAGACTCTCCTGCAAGACCTGTCAGAGTTCACTCGAGAAGGTAACGTTCTGAGCGGTGGTGGAAAACAACAAAAAAACAACAGGTGCCCCATGGCCACGGCGAGGTTTTTGCCAACCGGTGTCCTGACGTTTACGAGGGCATTCTTAGTGGCTGGATAGAAATGCGTGGGCATTTTTGCAAGTCTGTTAATTGCGATACAATTGTATTGTTCGTTTAAACGGGAGACAGACCGTAACTTTAGGAGACTCCCAACATACGTACCACACGAATATATAAAATACATGGAAAGTACGTAAGAAATATTACAATTTATATTATTCCAAGTTTACGTTCATTGATGCTCTTAAAATATTTCATTTAGAAATCTAAATAATTTACACAGGTGTGGAATTCTGATTTAAAGTGGAAATGTAAAGGAAAATATATTTTGATTTAAAGCTTTCGTGACTGCAGGGATTCATATTCTTGGTTCTTTCGGTAAAGTCACTTAGAAGGGAAACAATAAAATAATAAAAATATTAAACAATAAAATTCTCACTGTGAGAAATTCTCACTGTGAGAAAATTCTCACTGTGAGAATTTTATTGTTTAATATTTTTATTTTTTTATTGTTTCCCTTCTACGTGACTTATACCGAAAAAATATTTGCCCAGATTTGATTGTAAAAATATAAAACAATAAAATTCTCACTGTGGAGATTTTTATTGTTTTATATTTCTATTATTTTATTGTTTCCCTTCTACGTGACTTTACCGAAAATATATTTGCCCAGATTTGATTGTAAATGTATAAATGGGTACATCCCAGCTGGTGGGGTGCCTCCACCTCTTCCAAGACATGTGTCCAGCACGGAACAGCAGAGCAATAAACCATCCAAGACTCTAAAGCAGTGGTTCTTCTTCCTGTTCTTCTTCACCTGGGGTGCACGCTGCCCCCCTGGGGGTGCGAGATGCCCTTTCTGGGCGTGCGAGACATGGCCAGATATTTTTAGAAGGTAAATCATAGAAACACAATTTAACTACGGGCACGTACGTACAACTACTTTGTTTGGTCAAACCCTCTATGTATTTATTAGCATTACACATGTTTTACGATTGAGAACCAAGGGAGTGCAAGGTTGCAGTAAAGGTTAAAAACCACTGCTCTCGAGGAAGAGTCCTGTTATAGCGGGGGACCCTTCTGGTAACAGTGGCGCGAGAAGGCAGTTGCAGGGCCGCACCTTTTAACCTTCTTATACCATCACGGTAGCTTCACGTGGCGGATTTTTTTTTTGTTCTCCTGGATGCCGTGGCGGGGCGTCTGCGTGCTCCAGGCGACATGAGGGGCCACCTGCAACTCGTGGCCGTGTTGGTGACGCTGCAGCTCGTCTTGTTGAGGGCACAGGCGACCGAGACGGCGACGAGTGAAAAGTGCGGGGGACTGCCGGGAATTCCCGGCACACACGGGCAGAACGGACAGGCCGGGCGGGACGGCAGAGACGGTGAGTGAGAGGATGCGACTCGTGAATTAAAAAAAAACATAAAACTAAGCATTTTTTTTTATTTGGCCAGGTAAGGCCCACTGAGCTACTTAGCTCTCGTTTTCAGAAGCGACCTAGCTCTCACAAATGATGGCTCAACGAAGTGGCTCATGACGTGGACATTTATAGCAGCCAAATACTCTAAACGCGTGATGTTGATTCTAAATATGGAGGGGAAAAACCGTAGGACCCGGAGAAAAATCCACCTGACCATGGAGAGAGAGACACGCAAACTCCAAATATACAGCAGGCGTCAGGGTCTGTCTGGATCTAACCCACGACCTCCCGTATACTAGGCGAGGTAGTTAACATCTCGCCACCGTGGCGCAGATGTTAATCTCCAAAAGCACGTGGAGGCGGCGCTGGCACACCTTGACTGCGTTGGCACAGTGTTGTGGCACACATTCATTGGCCGGCTTTCTGTTCAATGGGACGGGGAGTCAATTGGGTTGACGCCCGATTGAATGATTTTTTTTTAAAAAGGCGTAAATACGAGAGGCGTTAAGATATCCAGACACCAAATAGACACAAATTACGAGACATCGTGCTGCGCAACCCCATATTGTTGTGGTAAAAGAAAACGCAAATATGCTTTGAGAATGCATGCATTTGTTCTTGCATGCAAAATCATACCGGGGGTGGCCACACAGAAGCCACGTGAATTACGCGAGGCTTGACATTATTTAGATATAGAGGTTGGCCATAAAGTCAGTCGTTTATTTTAACTATGGTATTTAAACATTGTAGTTATCTAGTCTTTATTAAATGTGTTCATTTTTTTATTATTAATCTTATTTTTATTCATCCTGTGGGGAATCCTCAAATCCGCCGTTGACAAAACTCGACCAAGAATCCTGAAGGAACTGAGCCAAAACATAGTCGATAAATTACTCTTTGTTTTTTTCGGTAAAGTCACGTATAAATAAGAAATAATAACATAATAGCGTACGACGTTTCGGTTGCAACACAAGCAGCCATCATCAGGTACAGAAGAGCTAAATTCATGAGAGAGGGGAAACATATAACCTCAGATGTATATACAGACACCCAAGTAGGGGGGAACTAACACAGATACAACAGGGGACACAGAGAGAGAAGCATACCAGACAGACAGGGTTTAGCTTCTCTCTCTGTGTCCCCTGCTGTATCTGTGTTAGTTCCCCCCTACTTGGGTGTCTGTATATACATCTGAGGTTATATGTTTCCCCTCTCTCATAAATTTAGCTCTTTTGTACCTGATGATGGCTGCTTGTGTTGCAACCGAAACGTCGTACGCTATTATGTTATTTTATTATTTCTCATTTATACGTGACTTTACCGAAAAACCAAAGAGTAATTCCTGCAGTCACGAAAGCTTCAAATCAAGTATATAGTCGATGAATGTTCCAAGATTACACCTGCAGTCTTTTTTTTTCAAATCCTTAATTAGTTTCAAAAGATAATTCACGTGTGCGAGAATGTTGATGGTCATGAACATGTTGTTCGTGTAAATGAAATAACCCTACGTGATTTGTCAATGTAAATATAATAACCCTGTGTGCCCTCGCCTTTCGGCCCCTGTATTTCGATGCTGACGTCAACTGGTTCACCTTGCGAGAAGCTGCTTCTGTGAATCTCGCACACCACTCGACGAACTTGTCACCACTTATAGTATGAAAATTGCTCAAGTTGTAAATGTACCCCGAAAATTGTACCACAAAATTGTACCAAAATTGTAAATGTCGTGGTGTTTACTCTCCAACACACCGGTGTGAAGAAGCAGTAACTAATTGGCACGTTTTGTTTACGTACACAAATCTCACTAATTGGCTGTGTCGGGTGGTGGCGGGTTAACGACGCATTTATATTTACGCGATCTAACCCAAATAAAACCTTTTTTTATTATTATTATTAAAATCGCTGAACGCTCCCAGCGAGTGGTCAGCGTAGGAGGAAGGGGAAGGGCGGGAGAGGGGTGCGACTGGAGAAGAGGGGCACTCCTCGTCAAAATCCACGTGGCAGTCACCTCCGATTCCAAACTCCCGCGAGATGACACTGCGGGGCAATCTCACACCGCACAAAAATTACAAAAAAAAATCCCCAACCGTGGAACGAGCCGCTCGGCTTTCACGACGACGACGAGGAACAGCAGCAGGCGGCCCTCGCCAGCGCACCTGTGCCACCCTCGGTGGGTTGAGACAGGAAAATAAATATTGCACGGTTACATTTGTATTAATGCAACAGAGACAATGGTGTTTCGTGCGTCCCAAAGAGTTTATTGAATCTCCTGGTAGAGGATACAGCAACGAGAGGACAACGTTCCGTCATGTTCCAGGCAAAGCTCGCGATGTTGTCGCCCGTGCGCCATTCTCTGCGTGCCAACTCGTTGACCGTTTAACAGACACGCACCCTCCTGCACACTTCATGATGCTAATTGCTCAACCATCTATATTGTGTCACTGCGGCTTAATTAACTGCGGCGCAAATGCATCACGTGGCCTAATCGTTTTGATAATATTTTTTTGCAGCAGTGTTGAGACAAAAGTAAAAAAGAAAATGATATTATTGTGTAAGACAATATGTTCACGAGCTAAATGCAATTGTCAAGGTGTGCTGGCCACGACGAGAGGGCTTCAGGAGACAGCTCGTCTTGTTTTTCTATTCCTCCGTTGAAAGAGCCCAGGCTAAAGTGGTTACCACTTCAGTTGCGTGTCCACAGTCACACTGACTCTGGCTTGTCTTCAATGTTCCACTGATGAAGCAGATGTGCGCATCGGCCTGTGATGTTCCGAAACTGTTGATGGTTCCACCACCGGTGTCTTCGAGGAGGAATGTCAAAGCCAGGAGATGTGCGATGTTTGGGTCTTGAATGAAATGGACGTCATTAATTTCACTCTTTTCTGTGAAACCCCCCAGGACAACCCGGACAGAAGGGAGAACGGGGGGATGCTGGGAAAGGAGAATCAGGAATTCCTGGTACAGCACAACGCACAGTGTTTTAATGCTTATTTTTCTTTTTTTAAACCCCAATGTTTTCATTTTGGAAACATTAGAAGATACCACTCTTGTCTTATTACAGTATATGTTTCTACTACGCAGATAACCCTCGATCATTATCCGCGGGTGGATTTATCCGTTTTTTATTAACCTTGCTTGTGAAAAAAACATCTATATTGCAAGATGTTTTACATTGCGCGCTGGTTTAATTATCATTCACTCCTTAATTGCGGAGGGCCAGTGACTCGTTGCCCACGTGACCGCAAACGTGCACGAGTAAACGAACCTCAATAAGCATTTAAAAAAAAACACCCACAGATGACAAATTCAAATTTTTCACGTCGATTCTACATAGGTAAACAATCATTACATATGTATAGCCTAATTCTTACAAATTCCTTGCATGGCATTTGTTTTGTTCCATCCGGGATTCCCCTTCTCATCCCATTACCCCGCGGATAACTCGAGCGTTGACTGCATAGTAACGTAATCGTCGCCCGACGGAGATGCTCACTCGCTGTGAAATCCAACGCCTGTCATGGCAGGCTCCCCGGGACATCCAGGGCCCAAAGGCGAGCCGGGACCTGCGGGGCCACCAGGTCTATCCGGATTGGACGGGGAAAAGGGTGAAAGGGGAGAGCAAGGTGAGTGACTGCACATTTCTCACGAGGACAAATCGATGACACGTGGGGACCACCACCTGCACTCCAAACACTTTGAGCAAGCGCGGCCAGCGAACTTTGCGTGACCCTATCCGAATCTAATTGGACAGGACCCAACGGGAAGGTTGGACCCGTGGGCACGATTGGGCCGCGAGGAAACCCCGGAGAGCCCGGTGCGAAGGGCGACAAGGGCGATACGCCCGCGATTAAGAAGTCAGCGTTCAGCGCCAAGGCGACCATCTCCAAGACGAAACCGCAGGGCGCGGGGGTCATCGTGTTCGACATCATCATATCCAACGACTTCGGCCACTACAACAAGGCGACCGGCAAGTTCACGTGCGTGCACGCGGGCCATTACTACTTCTCGTTCCAAGCTCCCTCTTCGGGTTCGCCCCTGCAAATCATCATCAAGGTCAGCGGCAGACAGGTCCTGACCCTCTACGACCACTACACGGTTGCCGGGGGCTCGGACACCATGAGCGGAGGCACCGTGCTGCACCTGAACGCCGGGCAAGAGGTCTGGCTGGAGATGGCGTCGGGAAACGTCGGCTTGTTCATTGACTTTGCGCGTGACGCGGTGTTCACCGGTTTCCTTATATACGCCGATTGACCCCGAGGCACGGCACCGGTCTAGACGGCGTTTGACGTCCTCCTCTTGACGAGCTTGTTACACGGCAAAGCCCTACCAACCCCCTCCCCGATGTGCGCGCGCGCGCGTGTGCGTGTGTCGGAAACAGCTGGGCATGATGCCGTCCACGGCTGGCAGAGTGGACGATGCGTGCCCAAGCGCTCGCCTGTGCGATGCTCACGTCGTAAAATGTGCTTGTATTGCCTAGTTACCCTGACACCACCACCCACCACCACCGCCTTCCACTCCGAATCTGTCCCCGCTTCCATTCCCTGCACTCCGGGATACATAACGCCAGGGCTCGACAAGCCACGTCACAAGAAGGGACATTTTTGTTCGAATTCCGTAAAACAAAACAGGAATATTTTAAGAGCGGCAACGCATGTGAATGATGTCATGAAGCAGTCCTTAAAGAGCCCACGGGCTCACCGACCCCTGCAACATACCATACCCACAATCCCCATTCACTGATATCAAAGCATGGGGCGGATCACACGGAAGGGTAACGATGTATTATTATATGGCGAGGTGTTTATTGTATTTGTTTCCAAAATGACATCAGCGATTTGGTGGAAAAGCTCAAGCAAAGCGGACAACAAGGAGGAAAATGGAATATCTCTGACAGCCCCAAAATCATCCACCGAGGACACAACGCTCACGCGTGGATGCGTAGTGCACAGTGCGGCACCACGTCAGCGTGAGCCGGGAAGCATTCCGCGAAACCTTGGCAATTATTCCATAATAATATTAGTTGGCGCCAAGGTGGCGAGATGGTAACTGGTAAACACGAGGTCGTGAGTTCAATGGTGACCCTGGCGCCTGTATATTTGGAGTTTATATTTGTTGATTTGAAGCTTTCGTGACTGCAGAAATCCATACTCTTTGGTTCTTTCGGTAAAGTCACGTAGGTAGAAAACTAATAGCGGTTGTCCCACCTGATGACGCTAGCTTGTGTTGCGATCGAAACGTGCTGATCTATTATTTTTCTACCTACGTGGCTTTACCGAAAGAACCAACGAGTATGAATATTTGTTCTCCCCCGTGATTGCGTGGATATTTCTCCGGGTCCTCTCCACATTTAGAAACAACATTAGTTTAGAGTATTTGGCTGCTATACATTCCCACATGATACGCCACTTCGTTGGGCTATCATTTGTTGGCCAGGTCGCTTCTGAAAAAGAGCTACATAGCTCAGTGGGCCTCACCTGGTAAAAAAAAATAATTGCTTACATAGTAAAACATTCCAGGAGCATTCCGTTCATAGGTAAAGGTACAGCCCTGCAACTGCCTGCTTACACCAATAGAGGGACCTTTAGAGAGGCCCGACGCGAGCGTATTTTTGGCCTGCTCTTCCATGCTGGCCAGATGTATTTGCCGATGTGGGAGTACCCACGCTTTCGCCCACCACACTCTACCTGCCCATCATAGACTGCGGTGCACCCGTTTATACTGCGGGGGGGGGTTTGGATAATATAATAAACTTGCACCATTTCAACGCCGCAATGGGAGATAGAACAGCCGGACTGACGCATTGCGCGATAACCAGTGCACAATGGCAACATCGATACGTGCATAGCTAATTGGTCTGATTAAAACAAATATATGTAATTCCAAAGCCATATTACAGTACAGTATTAAGTATGCGGCAATGCTATGTATGTACGTGTTTACTTACTTTCGACTAGTTTGCACTATCCTAACGTAATAAGTTTGCCGAAAGAAAACAGATGTCAAATAGATCCTCTGATTCTTCAATGCCGGTGTAATGGTGCACTCTGTAGCTTTGCTAATTGCCACGTTGCTTGTGTGTGTCTTCACTCAATACAATTCCATATAAATGCCTTTGCAAGCTCTTGCTTTTTTACACGTGTCAAAAAAAAGAATAAAATATATCCTCCTCCCCTCCCCACTTCTCCAAAAAAAAAGTTCCGCAGAATGAATCCCCTTTGGGGCTTTGCATTGCACACGAAGGATTGTGGGAATCAAATAAATGTGCTTCAATTATCACCGAGAGACGTCGCTGTGGTCACTGATTTGCATGCCAGTGTGCCGTGACACATTCCTTCACGGGGGCACTGCATTGTATGTACTATGTTGAACGTTTTTCGCACCCGTACGTAAGCCAATCGTGCTCATCGGCATTGAATCTCGTGAGCGTTGTAGACCTGAGTAGCCACACGAGGTAGCGGCACCCGTAGTCGTCAGGTACACGGTGAGAGGCGAGGCAAAACGTGATTGCTTCAACTCACACTGGCCAGAATGGTGAAGTATGGTCAAAACACAACGCAAAGAGCACGCTATGATGTCACAGTGCACAGAGGACGGAGTGATGTCACAGTCTCAACGTTGGGGAGAGGGGCCTCCAGCCCCCCCTCTCGCCCCCCTCCCCTTCCCCTCCGGCACAATGGAGCTGGATTTGCTGGTGGAGCTCACCCCATATGTAGTTTAAATGCATGCACGTTAGCGTTATGGTACGTGACCACGTTAACAATTACAAATGCACGGCCTACAATGGAGCAATTGTACAATGCAGTGCGAGTGGGGCAATTAACTCCCACCAAGACGATTTTTGTGGGTCACGATTCAATCCTGTTGTGTCAAGATTCAATTTAGCAATCTATTATTTTTACATTTTTGGTAAACAGTTAGCATCTCTCCGGGCTTAATGGATGGTTGTGACCCTCCTTAATGCCATCAGACCAGTCACGTGACTGTCCGGTGTGCAGGCGGTGTAACTGCACCGGGGCCCACGTGCTTCAGCAGCCCAGGTCCCGGGCTACGAAGAGGGGACAATCGGACAACCGGTCCCCATGCATTCCTTACCACAAATTAGGCGCACTCCAACCGTGCTACGCCACTGCTGCATTCCATGCAGCGTAATAATTAATGCGCTTGAGAATCCTTATGCATCGATTCATAATAACAATAATTGCTGTGTTGCATAGTTACAATGCAGACAATGTGGACTTGATGGAAGCGCGTGCGGTATCAACCACGAAACATCTCTGAGTGGCAAAGTCGTTCTCTTTCAGGAGCATATTGCTGAATAATGATTGCAGCTTGCTCACTTGCAGACTCTTTTGGTCTGCTAAAGTGTTGCACTTATCTCTCGTCCCCCGGGATAACACCCGTCCCCGACTCTCTGCTCAAAATTATTGGATTTGATGGGGGGTTTTTTTCTCTACACGAGTGTGTTGTGAAGGAGATTATTCGGCACGCACAATGCATTCCAATGTTCCATTCTAAGTTGTGTCATATCGTATGTTTGTTAAATTCCATTTGATATTCACAAAGCACACAAAGAGTGTTGTCGCTCTTCTGGTGAAGCGGAAGAGCTGCCATTCGAGACGGTACAAATCCCACACCAGGGTCTATGTAGTCTTACCAATGACAGCATCGTCATTCCTTTGGGAAGCAGTGATGTCTGTACCCACGTGCAAAACGGGCCTGTGTACAGGGCGGTCCAGGTGTCTTGTGACCCCACAATTAATTGACCCTTAATATTTTCCTTTGCATATTCATGTATGAGAATAGGTTTTCCACTTTTTTCCGACAACAAAACAGGTGTTAAGATGTTTAAACACCAAACTGAAACCTTTTACTTACAAGGAATCATGTCTGCATCAACTGCAAAAACATACTCTGATAGTATATGCATTGTCTTTGAAACTGATTGGTCCACACCAAAGACAGCTTTCTTTTGAGCCTAGTCTCTAAACGGTGTTAGACCAGAGGTCGAAGCTGTCTCTGGTGTGCACCAATCAGTTTCAAAAACAATGCATATATTATCAGTGTGTTTTTTGTTTGCATTCTGTCCACAAGTATTGTGGTTAATGCAGACATGATTCCTTGTAAAAGGTTTCAGTTTGGTGTTTTAGCATCTTAACACACCTGTTTTGTTACCAGAAAAAAGGGGAAAACCTATTCTCATATTTTGGTACTGGCAAAGGAGGTCCCATGATATTAATTTATGTTTAAATAAACATTTTCTATCATCATTATCACTGCCAGATGAGGGCTTCCCCAAGCTGTCGCCTTTAGCTGCCACTCAGTTGCTCGTCTCAACCACGGCGCGTACCGCCCCAGCCCAGTGGATGTTATCATTTGTCTACGGACACCGAAATATCCGGTCTCTCTCAATCGGTGTTGATTCCCATTTCTCTGTCTGTCTCTTTACGCGTCTCTTTCTCTCTCTCTCTATCTGTCTCTGCGTCTGCGTGTTTGTGCGCGTGTCTCTATCTCCCAAATGTATGTCTCTACGACCCCTCTTCCAGCTGAAAGTAAAAGAATAAGCACCACGAAGTGAGGCACGTCAGCAGTTAGTTCGTTAGTGACCTTTCTTTCACCAGGTGGGAACCCATCTAGATAACAAGTCTCTCTCAAAGAGTGATCTGGCTCAACAAGTGACGACATTAATACACTAAAGTCAAATAATGGGTATTGAATACCAGCCAAGCGAGAGAATGGACAAAAAAGCCAAAAGCTATCACAGGTGCTTGTCCGGATGAACATGTAAATGTCATCATGGGCTAAGGGTCACTGAGTTTTTTCACCTATTGAACCATATCCAAAGCTTACAGTGACTCATCTTCTCACCACTGTTCCGTACATTAGACCAGACCACAGTTAATTAAGCACGTGTCGTAAAAAAAAACGTATTCATACTATCCGGGTGAAATTCATCAACAGACACAATAACAAAATCAAAGCATCCCTCCAACCTGGACCAATCCAGCGATCACATTTCAACTCTTTCATGGGCAATCCAATTTCCAAAGAAACGCTGATGGGATTCAGGTGCATTCACTGCTTACGGTTGTTATTATTATAATTGCTCTTCTCGCGTTAACTAGCAGTTATAAATACTAATTGGAGTCGTGGAGCAAGGGCGCATAATTAGCAAGGCATGCAAGCGACGTGAATGATTATAATTCACTCGTCCTGGTGCTCATTACTGAGCACGGGGAGAAGCCGGGCGACAGGCTGCTTGGAAACTAAACGCGTGGGCAGAGGCCCCTAGCGGCCACTCTCGTGAGGAATTAAACAATATTTGGCAGTGGTAGCAAGGGCACAAATAACAAAACTGAACACGAAATATATAAAATACGTATTTATTTTTAGTTTAAGGCAGTATTATTGACAGACGTATTGCGTTGTTTTTCTTGCCAAAGGCGTCTTTTTCAAGACCTAATTCCGGCTTTCACAGTCAACGAAATAGCTGCGATGAGTCATTGCAGCAGCTGCTGCTGCTGTTGCAGATGATCAACATTGTCGTAAGATGGTGATGATGACGTTGGAAGTGATACATTGATTATTATGACGTATGTAATGATGATTATTGGCAATCTGGCAATGGTATGATGATCGGGACTTAATTTATCATGGAATATTTTCCATGTCCCCCCCACCACCCCTGGAATCTGGGGAGTGGAGGTATTATTACACACTTTTATTATGACAAATGACACACTTATATTGAACTTGCTGTGTTTGTTTATATTATTTTAAATCTTTGACGCGAAATATCTTCGGATCTACGAAGCTAACGAACTGAAATTTTCAACACAGACTCGACTACGGGCGTGACAATTCAAGATTTCATAATACTAAAAATAACTGGCCCAGGTGCCGCCCATCGTGGTCCTATTCGAATTTTTTTTTTCTGAGCTCAGCCCTAGACTGCTCCGGTTGAAATTAAGCCATGTGGAGAAAATATTGATGTTGATGGTAAACTGATGGGTTCGCTGACGATCCCGTGATGACAAACTGATATTCACCATCATCATGATCATCAGCAGCAGCCATGATCGATCCACAGCTGCTGATGCTGAAACTCTCTTTAATAATTCACCAGTTAACACGGTTTTTGTTCCTGGGTAGTGTTATTTTCTATCTAGATTTGAAGCTTGCACGATATTATTTTTCCGAGACCAAGGTACTCTGCAAACCTTCGGGCTACTATCAAAGGTTTGTTCATGAAGCCATCCAGATATATAAACATAGACATAACTTCAACCGAGAAGATGGATACAAATTGAGCAATCATTGGAAGGATGTTATTAACCAGGTAAAACCCTAACTGCTTTAAATTGATTTAAAGCTTTCGTGACTGCAGGGATTCGTATTCTTGGTTCTTTCGGTAAAGTCACGTATAATGGAAACAATAAAATAATACAAATATAAAACAATAAAAGCAATAATTGTTCTATATTTTTATCATTTTATTGTTTAAGGGAAACAATTATTGTTTTATATTTTTATTATTTTATTGCTTCCCTTATACGTGACTTTACCGAAAGAACCAAGAATATGCTTTATAGTGGTTGTTGTCTATCAAATCTGCCGGGTCTTTTTTTCCTAGTCAACTCCTCCCCCCCCCCCCCCCCCCCGCATTCGCAGCCCTCTCGGCCTCCTACTTCCAGCCCCCCCCCCCTTCACCAGCCTCACGTCCCTCTCCGAGTGTCCACGAAACGCCCCCCCCCCCCTCTCTCCCCCTTGCCCCCCCCTTTCTCACCTTTAACCTCTTACCACGGCTCTCTCTCCCACTTCAGCCAAAAAAACATCTTTCTTGCTGTGGGTTTTCCCACCTGATGATGATTGCTTGTGTTGCAATCGAAACGTCGTGATTTATTTTATACCTACGTGACTTTTACCGAAAGAACCAAAGAGTATGTTATTTTCTAATTGATTATGCCTCAAAAGAATAGAAAATGACTATTATCCCCCACAAACTTGCTTTTGTAACCAGGGCATTACGTGAAGGAATGACACAAATGCACACCACGTGTTTCTCATTGAAAATAGGTACATTTCAAAATATCAATATCCTGGTCACAAAAGCAAAGTGTCTGGGGCATAACAGCCATTTTCTGCACTTTTGAGGCATGAGCAATTAGGAAATAACACTTACTACCCAGGAACAAAAGAAACAATTTTTGTTACACACTGTTATCATCCACGCCGGAACTGACGTGCGGTGAACGTTTGTGAGTTGACATGCAGCAATTCACAGGGCCACGCGCGTCGCTCGCCTCTCATTGGCGACGGCAGCAGTCACCACCATCGCTGCCATACCCAGCCAGCTTGCCCCGAACTCTCCACTCATCCCAACAACTTGGAGCGACCACTTTAACAAACCAAACAGGAGAGACCACTGACGGCACAGCAGTATTCATTTACGAAAAGGGACCACCACTGCGTAAGCCGACGTATCATCCACGTGGAACCAAGCAAGCGCAGTCGCCGTCGCTCCCCTCCCGTCCAGGAGAGGTGTGATCCTGCGGTGGGGAATCTCTTGATGTCACCCGGGTAAGAGACTCGAACCGGTCAAGGGACGTCAAACCATCCATGATGAGGTCTCAGTGTCTTCGTATGCGCTCGTCACGACCCAAGGATGGCATTGAGTGTTGTGTGTGGAAGGAGCCCGCAGTGGAGGGACTGTACGTGTGTGTGTGTGGAAGTCAGTCCAATGTCCCTTACCCCCGGCTCTGCGGCGATGCATTGAATAGCCGAGTGCTTCGTTTGCCGCCAGAGGGCGCTGCAGCAGAGAGGGAGGGGACGGCCTATCCCAGTGTTGCTTCACTCGTTTTCAGAGAGAGAGACGCGGAGGGGGTGGCAAGCCACTTTGGCCGATAAGACATCAGCGGTGTGTGAGGGCCGTGACACATTTGAAGCCATTGCGGGTTTGACAGCAGCACGATGATGATGATTGGGCGGTGTTGTCACTCTGTGTGCATGGTCCGGGGGGACCGCACGCTAGGAGCCTCACTAAAGGCCACCAGGGACCGCCAGTGGCCCACGTGGCCTCGCAATGAAGAACGCTGCCCTCTGGCGTACATCCCCCCCCCTACACCCTACCAGCGTTATCTGACCATACTTCACCACGCAGGTCGGTGCGGGTTGGTGAAGGAGGCGTGGGAGCACGTCTAAGGCAACGTGTGTGGCACACTGACCACAACGTAGCCCCCCACCGCACGTGCAAGACAACGTGTGTGTGACACACTGCCCACAACGTAGCCCCCCACCGCACGTGCAAGGCAACGTGTGTGGCACACTGACCACAACGTAGCCCCCCACCGCACGTGCAAGGCAACGTGTGTGGCACACTGACCACAACGTAGCCCCCCACCGCACGTGCAAGGCAACGTGTGTGGCACACTGCCCACAACGTAGCCCCCCACCGCACGTGCAAAGCAACGTGTGTGGCACACTGACCACAACGTAGCCCCCCACCGCACGTGCAAGGCAACGTGTGTGGCACACTGACCACAACGTAGCCCCCCACCGCACGTGCAAAGCAACGTGTGTGGAACACTGACCACAACGTAGCCCCCCACTGCACGTGCAAGGCAACGTGTGTGGCACACTGACCACAACGTAGCCCCCCACTGCACGTGCAAGGCAACGTGTGTGGAACACTGCCCACAACGTAGCCCCCCACCGCACGTGCAAGGCAACGTGTGTGGCACACTGACCACAACGTAGCCCCCCACCGCACGTGCAAGGCAACGTGTGTGGCACACTGACCACAACGTAGCCCCCCACCGCCGCCAGCAGCACCCTAAAGCAGCGCCTGCGCCGTGCGTGTCCCTTGCTCGCTCGGGACCCAAGGCGGCCAACACCACCACCACCACTATCCAGGCTCGGACCTGCTGAGCTTCCGATAACGTGTTGAGATCGGGCACGTTGCGGCGAGTGGTTTTGCCATGGGGGCGGGGGGCCCTTTTGGCCAATTTTAAAACGATGGGGAATTATCCAGGAGGCGGGCTTTGGTCGGCGTTCTGGTCGGCTTCATCGTCCGGTTGTAGGGGAGGCGAGCTAGTTTGGTTCACTGAGGATGGAGGAGGGGGGGGGGCTTTGTGTAGGAGTCAAGGAAATTGCAGGAGAGGTGACGCTGAAGCTGCGTGGAGATTTTAGAACGCTGCAATGCACTGAAATGGTGGTCCAGATTTCTTGCGACCCCCCCCCAAATTAATTGACCCATATTTTTTATATATTTATTGTATTGCATTACGCACCCATTGGTGGACCATTTTTTGTTTAAGTTTTAGAGAATTAAATGGGGGTCACAAGACATTTGGACCACCTTGTACAGTAATCTCACGCACGGTAGGGGTTTTTTTACCGGAAATTCCAGGTTCCTACCGCAAGCTCAACAAAACACATCAATGTAGAAACTCGTGAAATTAAAGGATTCTTGAGACGAGAAGAGTTGTTTACCTCGGTGAAGGGCATTATGGTATACCACATAAATGTAATTAATAGCTTCAGGTTGACCTTGCGCTACGAGTGAAGGAACTGAACCTCATGTCCGTAATTATCTTGTTAACAATTATAATTTATCAAATTAAGTGATGTTCATTGGATTGGAAGTTGTGAGTAAAATTTATAAAATGGACACAATTGTGCGTTGATCTTTTGTCAAAAACATATCCTACTTGCCATCAGCGTACAAATGTACACACCCTGTGGAATAAAGTAATTTATAATGCAGTGAAGAAGTTTTAAGTTCAAATAAGCTGCGTGCGAATTCGATGAAATCGCAGATAGTCATGCAGGTACTCGGGACACAACTAAACGAAAAATTCCAATGGAGGCTCATTTGTCTCTGCTGGTAAGTTTAAATAAGACGGGATATTTTTTTGTTTTAAGTTGGGTCAATTCGCTTAATGTTGTAATGAACACCGTGTACAATGTGAAGGTGCATACATTGCATAGGCCAGAGAATACATGGGTACAACCTGTGGTACCAAAAGTTTAGCAGTACATACAGTACCAATTTCTTTCTATGCCAAATCAAAAATGAGGACAATGTGCTTGACCTACTCACGTGAATAGGTTATCACATCATTCACTTGTGTTTATAATGTTTACAACAAAATATTACCACTAAAGTTGTCCACATGTGGTACTGACAATTCAAATATTTGGACTTCACTTATCACAAGCACAGATGTGAGGAAGAGACGCGAATGCTTCCCTTCGGTGTGTGAATAAATGCTGTGGCCTTTTAACATTGACGTTGATTTATGGTGAAAAATGTTCCGTTTTTTGGAGTTTGTAGAATGTTTTATCGAGGAAACGAACACAGGACTTGTGCAAGGTAAACGATTTTCTGTCGCACTGCGGACGTTGAGTGTTCTCCAGTGTGTAGACTCTCTGGCAACTGCTTTGCAGTTTACATCTCTGCATTATTTCAAAACATAAAGTATCTAAAAACATTGAGGCTTCCTCGATTAATAAACAATGTATATGCGTGTGTATCTTCTGCTCACTCTGAGAACGAGGTGGGGACTGCTGCTGAACCTGGAGCCCGCCACAAAATACCTGATGGGTATTGTCATTGAACACTCTATTCCTGCAACTCTGTATGAGTAATCGAGTGGCGGTGAAGAGGATGGAGGAGTTTTCCATTGTGCCACGTGTGCGTGTCTCCAGCTGATTGACTAATCTCCGTGTGCTACACCTTGCTTCTCCAGTGGCTGCGGTTGCCGCGACCAGAAGTCCCGCCAGGCAGAAAAGCTCAGCACCCACAGTCCAATCTCCCGATGATCGCTGCCTCGGCATTGGACGAGGCGACCCCACGGACCTTCCACGATGCCTCTGCTCGAGCAGATGATGACCGCGTGGACGGGGAGCACGGGGACATTCCGCTCGATGATCTTTCGGCGACATCCTCCAAACAGGAGTTGGAGACGTACGATGATGAGCTGCTGGTGGCAAGACCCTATGAGCTCTTCATCACTCTGCTTACAGGTGAGGTGTAGCCACCGTGACTCTCTCAGTGACGAAGGCCTGTGCCAGGTGGTTATGCGACCAGCGGTATCATCATTAACAGAAGCCATGATCAATCCGCTGCCGCATGAAAGTCTCTCCAAGCCGTCACCATTTCCCACGCGGAAGTTTTTATTCAATTGAAACGAGCAGCCCGCACGTCCTATGGACGTTTCCGTCCTTACATCCGTCCCTCCAGCCAGCAAAACTTTTCATCTTATATAGTGTATGACAGTATGATATGATGGTGTATCCCCCCAAGTCGCAGTAGAGGCTGAGTGGGGGGGTCGGGGGGAGGTGTGACGTCAGCACGACGCACTCACCCGACTCAACGCATTGGGATGCGGGTGACATCACTACCGAGCACCCACAGTTGCACGCCAGCCCGCCAGGCAGGCAGACAGGAATCCAGGCAGGAAGCCAGCCAGCCGGCAAAACTTTACGTATAACACTGTATAGTACGAGTACAATATCGGCGTGCAGTTGATTATTTTACCCAGTTCTCTTTTAAAGAGTCCGTACAGATCTGGATTTATTGAGCTCGGCTGCTATGCATTACCATGGTAGAACCGAGTATAACAATCACGTTTAAAAGTTAAGATCAGAGCACCAATCGTCCAGGCTAATGAGGGGAGGGAAGGCCCAAATAAGCAAACATGTATTCATTGTTTATCTTCGTGAAATGGGTGTGAAGGCTTAGGAGGGAATTATGTATGCACGTTCAACTTCTTTCACACCGTACGTCACCAACCGTTCTACATGGCAAAGTAGAAACATTAAAGATGGGGGGGGGGGGTAAAATACTGAAACATTCAACATGCTGCACACACTGTTGGATATACAAATGTGTTGTATGTTTCACTTAATTTCTTAAAGTAAGCAGTCACACTATTTTTATTAAATTGATTGGCTTTCCTTTTCCAGTTTTTCAACAATTTCAAGTTTTACTTGAACAGTTAATTTAATTTGCCACCATGTGTGCGATGACGTGGGTACTGGGATCGACTAATAATAGAACCAGCGTGCACGCAAAAGGTATGCATTAGCGTGGAATGCCCAATTTTATATCTATAGACCTCTTACTTTTCTCGCAAGCACGGTTACTCCACAACCCAGATAACTTTTGATTATCCGTGGTAAGGTTAACGATATACACAAGTGGGTTGCATGCGATCATGAACACTGTATTATGCGCTACGCTGATTAAACACGCTTCTTTATGAGTGTGGTTAGCCAGCACTGCTCTAGATTTCTCGGGCAGGTGATACATTATTATTGTTATTAGCCGAGTAGTTTAAATCACCCGGAGACAAAATGTATCACCTACACAGAAACATAGGTCCATGGCACCTACGTATAGTGTACGTCATTGAGAACTTGTATGACTGAAAATCAGCTGTGTCACATTAGTTCCATACGTACAAGTGCCAGAGCCTCTGAGCAGTGCTGTCGGCTGGCCATGAGACCGGGACCCCTTCCTCTCCCGAGTAGGTGTTGAATAATCATTTAGCATGGTGGGGCAGAGCAGCCGAGCTAAATAAATCCAGACTCTGCACTGTTTCACTGTACTACTTTATATCATTGTCATCGCGGAATGTTTTCGCTTGATACAACTTTAAATTCCAAACTCTTAGTCAATAAAACGTGAAGTGAATTTGTCAAACTGTGCGTTTTTTATTTGAAAGCAAAGGTTTTTTTTTAAATTATACTGCGAGCACAATGTATAATTGCAAAGTTCTAGAAAATAAACTTACACGGTACAGCGGAAATGCCTCTTATCCGCCCTGATGTTGATGGAGGGGGGGGGGACTGTGTGTGGATTCTGTTAACGGTCTCAAATTATTTCCTTTTATTCACAAACAGCTGCTAAATAGAGATGATAGGATAAATAGAGATCTGAGGATGAATTGTTCTCCACTTTCAGTTCACTCTTCCTATGTGCATAAAGGATTAATTTAGCACTGCCCAGTGGACCACTTCTTTGGATAAGTACAGATAATAGGTACAGTTAAAGAGCGGGCAATCGGGATTTTTGCATATTTATTTGTGGGGGGCACAGATAATTATCGAGTGGCTTCGATGCACGTGCCTCCTTTACAAATCAATCCGGCACCTCCGATTGGCACGGTTGGCCTACGTACAGCGTCGCGAAAGAAGTCCAACATAGTACGTGCACAGTGTCTGCAATGACAGCGATCCGCTTTAGAAGAGTGTAGAGGTCAATGTTAGGGTCACAGGGTGAGTGAGGCTTGAGCAGTGTCCACGTTACTGCGTGGATCAAAGAGGTGAACTCTCAAGACAAGATGGAAAGCAACCTGCTGCCCCCTTTGAATGTACGCGCATACAGAAGGTGCTAGGAATTTCATGAAAGGGCAAGAGAACTATGGGAGTTTGGAATAGCGTGTGGCAAAGTATTTTGGATGTAAACAGGAAGAAGGGCTTTGTGGTAAGCGCGATGCGCATCCGTGCGGGATTGGAGGACGGAATGTCACCGATGAGGGGGCCGCTGGAGTGGTATCCACAGGTCCGGCGACCATCGGGAAAAAAGAGACACCACAAGCCAGCTGGTTGAGATACAATGAGAGCAGAGGTCAAGTTATGTTGTCGACCATTGCAAAAGCTATAGAGGTAGCGATGGCGAGGTCGTCGCGGATGGCCTCTTGAACTTGATATAATAGTGGTCCATTAAAAATGTCCACGTTTAAGTAAGGATCCGGTGAGCGCTCTCATGCCTAAAATGGTTGATTTGTGGCGTGGTGCATTTTTATTTTAAATGAGCCGTGTGGAAGGGTGGCAACCGAAAAGGTATACGAATATAAAAATGTAAGATTCGGTTGAAATAAGTTTCCTGACAAACTGCTTGTTTCATTTTTTTACAGCAAAATTTATGTTGAAACTCTATAACAATGGTGATAACGGCATGTGGTAAATGATTAGTTTTGTCGTTCGGCAATGCCACGCTGGTCACAAAAACATTTCGATATTGAAAGCCGTAGAACGCTTGTGGGTCCATTGAAACATTTGCCAGCGTAAACCCCACGGGGCGTGTAATCTGGGATAAACAATCACTGTTATTGTTTGACATTGGTAAGCCCCCCAATCACTCCAACATCGTCATTTGCACTTGGCTATTTACTTTACTTTTAAAGTATGCATAGTTCAGAAGCTTTGTTTTATTTTTATTTCTAAGGCCCTTCATTATTGCTCCATGAAAACTCGTAAAATAAACACCGTATTGTGTAATTTAGATTTGAAGCTTTCGTGACTGCAGGAATCCATACTCTTTGGTTCTTTCGGTAAAGTCACGTAGGTATAAAATATTTTATGTAGTTATTGTAAATTTCACTTTGCCAACTGATTTACTACAGTTGTATTGCAGTACAGGACCTTGATGTGTCCCTTGTAAAGTTTAATTCCTGCAATTTACTTACACTCTAATACTATAAGTGCAAGCCTACATACTTGTTTTTCCTTTTTACAAATACACTTTTTTTACCGCGTTCTGCTTGTATACACATCACACGTAATGACTGTGTTAAGATTTATTTATTTTGGGGTGGGACATAGGTACAGCATTCGTAATGACAGGTGGCCGATTTCAATTTCAAAGCAGCTGGCAGTTCACTGAATGGAAAGCAACCTGTGTGAAGTGAAACTGGAAAATCGCTTCCACCCTTGCTTGACGTCAGTCGGTCTTTCTTGCTTGCAAGGCGATGATGGTTTCTCTCGCCTGATGACACGTGTCATCCTGGGTGAGCAATCGCCACCGAGAAACACAGAGTGATGGGGAAAATGTGTAGCTTGCTCTGGGGAATGGAAGACTTCTCTGCTTGTCGCGACTTGTTTGCCAGAGCTGCCCTCCATTAGACGTTCGTATGATATATGATATACCGCTTAACTGCATTCGAACACTGTGTTCATAGGCTAACAGCAGGGAGTGGGTGAGTCTCCTTATTTATTTTTCCCCTGGTCCCAAACGTTTAACTAGCTGGGATGACAAAATCACTCGGCGTTTAAGAGTTCGTGGCTTTACCGTTCGTGTCGTTGATGCGACTGAAGCTGTAGTGGAGGCTGAGAGTTTGTCTCGTACCGTACTTGTGAATGAAACGCCGAGAGTCATGAGTTATGAAAAGGAACATGAAAGTGCTGACCAACGCAAGACGGAGCCGTTCATGTTGACAAATGGGACTCCCTCTCATTGCACCAATAAACGTAAGTGCACCCGTTTTGACAGTCACTCGGGTATTTGGAGTAAAGTGTGAGCTGTACATGTCGTATGCTTCCTTATATTCGGGGCTTGCACAATAATCCAATATCTGTTACAATATCACCCTCGAATTGGTTAAAAGTTGTGTAAGATGTCACAAGACAGTGGCGTATTATTCTCTAAGAATGTTTGTTTCCATGGTGGGTGGTGAAGCTCTCTGATTTAAATCAAACGTGCTGATGTATCAAATATAACAGTGATTTTTTTTGTGTAAACCGAGATTTGGATGGTATAAGGGTGTGTGTGTGTGTGTGTGCACGATGTGTGTGTGTGTGCGCACGATGTGTGTGTGTGTGCACGATGTGTGTGTGTGCACGATGTGTGTGTGTGCACGATGTGTGTGTGTGTGCGCACGATGTGTGTGTGTGTGCACGATGTGTGTGTGTGCACGATGTGTGCACGATGTGTGTGTGTGCGCGCACGATGTGTGTGTGTGTGTGCACGATGTGTGTGTGTGTGCACGATGTGTGCACGATGTGTGTGTGTGCGCGCACGATGTGTGTGTGTGTGTGTGCACGATGTGTGTGTGTGTGTGCACGATGTGTGTGTGTGTGTGCACGATGTGTGCACGATGTGTGTGTGTGTGTGCACGATGTGTGTGTGTGTGTGTGCACGATGTGTGTGTGTGTGCGCACGATGTGTGTGTGTGTGCACGATGTGTGTGTGTGCACGATGTGTGCACGATGTGTGTGTGTGTGCACGATGTGTGTGTGTGCACGATGTGTGCACGATGTGTGTGTGTGCGCGCACGATGTGTGTGTGTGCACGATGTGTGTGTGTGTGTGTGTACGATGTGTGTGTGTGTGTACGATGTGTGTGTGTGCACGATGTGTGTGTGTGTGCGCACGATGTGTGTGTGTGTGTACGATGTGTGTGTGTGTGTACGATGTGTGTGTGTGCACGATGTGTGTGTGTGTGTACGATGTGTGTGTGTGCGCACGATGAGGTTAACGTTACACGGTTCGTTTGCACTCTTGTCAATCGGCTTCTTGTTTTGTTTAAGTTTACATGTCTCTGACGGAGCTATATTGCACACAGTTGCCAATACAGTATTCGTGTTTGTTTTTTAAAAGGTGATCCATGCCAAAGGTTTTCTCCCATAAAAAAATAATTGAAAGTGGCTCGGCTTTTACAAACTCTGATTTCCAGACCATTAAAAGCAGACGCTGCTCTCTTACGGATATATGTTATACGTAATCTGTACAATGATAGATTCCATATGTATACTCTTGAAGATTGTATCTTAAATACTACCCGGTGGTATTCAGATTTTTGGTTTTATTCTCCAAATTTTACTCAAACCGCGCTATCGTTTTTCCGCACACCAGAGGACTCCACGTTCAGTCTTGATAGACAAAATGGATATATTTCATTCTCACGATCTGCAATTTGATTTAATGAAGTGAAACCCCAAATATAATACGATGGAGGTGGTTCTGTGCAGTTACTCAGAATGGAGACCTTCACATTGGTAGACTTGAGAATCCCATTTACTGCTTTTAATTCGTGGTTCCTCGGGGAATATTTACAGGCAGGATTATAAATCATATTTCCCACTAAGTGGTCACCAATGTAATAGATGGGTTGGCGTCACGGCTACTAAAAGCATTGATCTTGTAGTCTTGATTATTTTTGGCGTGGCAAATTGTGGAGAGCGACGCTGCTAAGTGCATATACACGAGGTCTCCAATGACCCTAGATCGACTTGGGTGAAATGAAGTTGCATGCCGCTAATGGCTTCCAACAGTTTCCTGAACATCCGTATGATGAGTTCTATTCAGACCCAGCAATACTTACACCGGACATACATGCGTGCTTACATGCACAGATGCACACATGAGTTATCTAGGGGGACAATAAAACCGCTTAGAGATGCTGCAAGTGGTGCAATAATTTCAACTCGGAAGTCGTCATTGCAGCCTGCTGCTACAGCAGCTCAACGAATGGGGCAAGTGTCGTCATCCCCCTCAACTCTTGTCCACCCAGAGTCACCAGTGGACACTCCGCGGTTAGTCGATCGGCGAGTTGCATGTAGTGGGGTGGAGTGTGGGTACTTTTACTTCTTGCAAGACATCAAGCCAGTTGTGGATGAGTAGGCCAAATGCCTTCTAGAGGAGCTGCCCAAAGTGGGGTTTGTGAATGGGAATCTGCAGTGCCATGCCTTTACCTTTTACAACAGCCTGCGGGTATTTTTGTCTTGCGTGCTCCAATTAAACTTTTGGATATCCTGAAGTGGCAGTGCACTGGAATGTGACTCGCAACCTAACGTTACCGCTTTTTAGTTTTTTATTTTTTAATACGTTTATTATCTCTAATAGGAGGGTGTCCAGTGCACGAACTGGAGGATGTGAAAGTTGACTTTATTAAAGTTTAATTTAAAAACATTTTATTGTCGGCCAAAAGCAAAATTTGCCTCAAATATGACCTGCAAGTGCAGACGTGTTTCCTTGGGAGAGAGAAAGCCGAAGGTGGTTGAATAAACCTGAATAAAACCTTCCAAGAAACGAGAGGAAGCTAAAACAACAGAGCCAGGCAATACCGGTTGGGCTCTTTCTCCCACTACTCTTCGTATCTTTTGATAAGCTGCTTTAATTTCGCCGTTTGGAGCCTTTCGAATTTACACGTCACCCTTGGCTTCCTAAACATGGTCTGGTGTGATTGGGGCGACTTGCAATCGGCACCTGGTTCTTAATTATACTGGTTGCGAATGTAATTTTCTATGTTTTCTCAAACTGTTTTTAATTGGTTCAGTTTTCGTATAATCCATGCATCTGCGTGTTCTTGCGTTGTACACGCCGGCTTTCTGCTTCGATGCGTCGGGCGCCAGTCGCTTCCCACAAGGGGCCATCCGTTTAGTACGTACGCATGGAGGAGGGGGGTTAAACCAAATGCTACGCTTGCATATGGGGGGGTCAACTGACAATCTGTTTTCTTAAACACGTTCATATTATTAATCCTTGATCGTTTCTGCGTGGAAATAATATCGGCCGTTCTATAGGATTCGGGGGGTGCGTCAGGCGTATGTACGCAGGTGGGGGGGGGGGGGTAAAAAGTCGGCGTGCGTACAGGGAGGGGTCAAGTTTTGACAGATTTTTTTGCGTACGTACTCAATGGATGGCCCCCAACGTCACGAACCATGTGCTATGAAGAAGGCCCACTGCGCGAAACGTCGTCGATTTAAAAATACAAACCAATTAGTTTAAAACAGTGTTGTTGATGAGTGTCGGGTTTGTTGTTGTTGTTGTGCTTGGCGATCGCTGCAAATGCAGCATCACCAAATAATTGGTTTAATCATGAACGCAACTGTAGGCACTGTCACATCTCAGAATCTCCCCTTCATTGCCGTTGTGTCAAGTGGACATTTTTAAGTCGCTCGATAATAAGCAAAAAATACAAATACAGTGCGAGCTAATTGAATTTGCACATTACAATTGAAGCTTAGGACCTTCTGGTTCATACAAATCGTATGTTAAGTAGATAACACTTTGTAACAAAACATGTATTTTGTTCCTGGGTAGTAAGTGTTATTTCCTAATTGCTGATGCCTCAAAAGTACAGAAAATGTATATTATTCTGCACAAACTTTGCTTTTGTGACCAGGACACTGATATTTTGAAATTTACCTATTTTCAATGAGAAAACGTGGTGTGCATTTGTGTCATTCCTTAACATAAAGTCCTGGTCACAAAAGCAAAGTTTGTGGGGAATAATAGCCATTTTTTAAAAATACTTTTGAGGCATAAGCAATGAGAAAATAACTCTTCCCAGGAACAAAAATCGTGTTACATCGTGTAATGTTTAGCCAAGATAAAAAAATATATATATTTGACATCCATGACTGATCGAGTTATCTTCTTTCAAAATAAACAAAAAAAACAAAGAACTCGCATGTAAATTATTATTAAACCAAGTTCCTGCCTCCTGCTCGTGTCTTGCCACCACAGTCGCATCTTTATCCTGTCGCGGGCAGATATGTGCTTCTGTGACACCCTGTCTTGAAATGAACGCCATGGTAGGACAACAGGTAAGCTTACACACCCACCCGAGGTGTTTCCTGCGTCTCTGTGAGTTGCAGCAAAGCCATCCAGTGGACACAAGGATATCAGTCGGGTCTTGCCGCATTGAGCGTGTATCCACTTATTGCCACGATCCTGTCTGCTGCAGGGTTATGAAAGCCCCGCAGCAACGTGCAGACACGCCTCCACACACGCGTGGCAATCATCGTACAGTATACCACGGTGCATCACAAGTTGATACAATTTACTGTTTTGACGAAGTGAAAAGATGTTTTTTTTTCCTTTTAAGCATCCCCCGCCCCCTCCTCGACACCCCCCCCGACACCCCCCACCCCCAATCTATGAAGCAGATTCTTAGGATGGAGACACGGCTCTGGCCGTAGCGTGTTTGCCGCTTGTTGGAGATGTTGGAGGTGCCGTGGTGGCTCGGAGATGTTAACTCCCTCGCCTGGTCTGCAGGAGGTCGTGGGTTCGATCCCGACCCTGACGCCTGCTGTTGTATATTTGGAGTTTGCGTGTCTCTCTCTCATCATCATCACGGTGGCTCGGAGATGTTAACTCCCTCGCCTGGTGTGCAGGAGGTCGTGGGTTCGATCCCGACCCTGACGCCTGCTATATATTTGGAGTTTGCGCGTCTCTCTCTCTCTCCCCATGGTCGCGTGGATTTTTCTCCGGGTCTTCCGGTTTTCTCCTCCACAGTTAGGAGCACGCGTTTAGAGTAGTATTTGGCTACTCTGAACTTCCACGTGACAAGCCACTTCGTTGAGCGTATGATTTGAGGCCAGGTCGCTTCTGAAAAATAACTACATAGCTCTCAGTGGGCTTTAGCTGGTAAAATAAAAAAATATATATGTAAAACGGTTCACGGTTCGATTCCAGCGGTCGCCCTGGTTAATACTGCCGGGTGAATGAAACCATAATACGTTCTA